TATTCCGTCAACTATTGTCGAAAGCAATCACAATAAGCAACACAACAAGGTAAAAAAGTGCTCTAAAAATAGTAGTTGAACTTTTCTAGGACATCTCTGATTATATGAAAAATAATCAGAGTGGTTTCATTGGATTTGGATCAATAGATATTTTTGAACATTTCAATATGATGAAAGCAAGGGATTCAATGGATCTACAAGGAGTCTACAGAAATATATTTTTGAAAAATATTAAGGGCACCCAGTTAACAAGGCATGATTTTAGAAGCATCTAGGAGTTGGTTTCACTGGATTTGGAGTTGAGATGAATTTCCTATGAATTTTCAAAGTTGGCCATACATGAAGAAATGGACCAATATTTTATGTGGCAGATACAACATAAGGAAAAATGTTCATAAACTAATTTATGAGCTTAGATGCCTCTAGAAATTTGAATCATGGATTTTGGATCAAATTTGAGCCATATGTAATTTTCCAAGGTTCATCATAGAAATAGGAAAATAGGGTTTTATGAAATACGTGTGAAAAAAAGTTTTCTGAAAAAATGTGCAAACAACACCATGTGATAGATCATGAATTTAGGAACACTAGGAATTTGAATCACCAAATTTGGAATTCATTTGAATTCTCTAGATATTTTACAAGCTATCTAGAAAAGAAAAAGAAAAAGAAAAGGGATTTACCCTTATCAAGCGCGCAGGGCGGAAGATAGCAATGGGCCGGCCTAGCGGCTCAGCCGCGCGCGGGATGTCGACGCGGGAGGCGTACTCGGGGGAATACGCCTTCCCCAAGCGAAGGCGGCGGGGCAGAGACTGTCTCCACTTAAACGAGGCGGGGCCCTCTCGTCAGTGGCTCAGCACCGCTGGCCAGCCCATAGGCGGGGCCCGCTGGCAAGTTCATCCTCAACCTCCCACGTAGGCGCGTCGGGAGACAGAGGAGGCGTTCGATGTCGGCTGTCGGTGCTACAGGGCATCTCCGGCGATGCCCGCCCACCGACGTGCTCAAGAGAGAGTGGCGCATCCGACGAGGTACTCCACGGAGGTAGGGGTGGTCGGATGCGAGTGAACTATCGGCCGCGACGGGCGAGGTTGGCGGTGGAGTTGGGACCCGATGGAACGGCCACGAGAAGGAGAGAAAGGAGCGCGGGGAAGGCCTGCGGTGATGTTGGAAGTGCTCTAGCGGGATCTAGAGGAGAGGAGGAGGAGTGGTGGGCGCGAATTTAGGCAGAGGTCGACGGCAAGGCTTCGGCCATAGAGGTGGATGTAGGGCACGGGGAGAGGGTTGGCTTGGTCCAGGGGGTCGCTGGGAGGGAGAGAGGGCGAAGGGGATCCAGAGGGAGGCCTGTGGAGTCCTTATATATGGCGAGTCCATGGCTCACCGTGGACGCGGCCTGCGGGCGTCCGCTGAAACGGCCGTGGTGGCCACGGGAGGAGGCTAGGGGTGGTCTGCGGAGTTCGTGGGGGTGGTGGTGGGTACAAGGAAGGGAGAGAGAGAGAGCGGGGCGAGCTCCGGGTGAAGCCACGAGTTCACACGCGCATTAGCGGGCTCAGGCGGCTCTGGGCACGCGCCGCGGGGTGAGAGAGAAGGGGTGAAGCAGGGGGCCAGCACGGTGGCGTGTTGCAGACATCGAGGCACCTCGACTGGCGTGAGTTGGAGGCTCGAGGTGGTCGGGGAGCGCGGCGTCAACGGTCAGGTGCTCTGCCAGGCGCTCCAGAGCGTGACTTTGGCCGGCATCCACCGCTTTTCACGCGCACCCCTGCGTTCACTTATGTCTGGGAGCCATAGGGGGAGTAGACAAAGTGGAAATGGCATTGGATGCCCTGGGGAGCCACTAGGGGAGAGAAGGGGTTGAGAGAGAGTGGAATTGATGCTGTCTAGAGAGGAAAATTGGGTCCCTGCCCCCTTCATCATTGCCCCTCGGGCAGGGAAGCACACAAGAGGTAGAGGGGGACTAGGAGAGGTTGTGGGAAACATTTCAGCTCATGGAGACAAGTGGAAATGGCCAAAACATGGATTTTGGAATTCTGCCAGAAGGTGTTTGATGTTGGGTTGGGATAGCTACACTCATCTACTGTTTGTGACACTTGACAAGGTTGTTGATCATGATCATGTGACACTGTGGTACAATTTTCAACTCATTTGGAGAAACTTCCCAATGTAACTTTTCCAAACTCTAGAAATCAACAAAAATGGGTTTCCCAAGATTTAGTCATGCAAACCTATTCTCCTTGATGCACCACCTGGTGTAGTGTCATCATTTGGGGATTAGAGCATGTCCACAAATTTTGGGATCAAAAGGAGACGGTTGGCAATGAAGAATTGCTCAAATTCTGATCTGGACAGGAATGGTTTTGGCAAGCTCATATCAAGTTAACTTTTCTCCAACTTGTGCCACTTGGTCTAGATGAATTATTAGACCATTTTAGCATGTGTACCAAGTTTGAGAACATTTTTACACGTTTGGCAATGTAAAGTTGCTCAAACTAGAAAATGAACAGAAATGGTTTTGAAGGGTTTTGGTGGGGTTATCTTGTTCTCCAAGGCATGAGACTTGGCAAGGTCATCAAGTATGGCATTTTTGACTTGCTAAGATTTTCTTGGAATTTATAGAGAATATTTCCTTTATAAATATTTCAAAAGCTTGAAATATCCAAAAAGGGTATTTGAGGGTTTTGACCAATGTTCTGAACATGGCCATGTGTCGAAACTCATATATATGGACAATATATGTCCAATGAGCTTCCCTAAGTTTTCTCAAATGTTTTTGAAACATTAAAATAATTTTAACCTATTAAAGACCATTTTTGGCCTAAAGAAAAAACCTTTAAATAAAATAGAAAAAATAACTTTTAAAATAATATTTTTGTGGTTTTAGGGAGTCCTATATCTAATAGGATTCCAATATAATTTTTGAAAGAGTTTTCACATCCCAAATTAAGTACTTGTAGTTCAAGCCTTAACTCAGGGTTTTTTGGAAAACCTAATTTAGAAAATACTTTTTGGCCAAATTATTTTTGCAAGAAAAAAAACTATTCTGTCCTATACACATGGCATGATCATTGGGCAAGGTTTCAGATCAAGGGAAAGAATTATAAGAGTTGTAGGATTTATTTGTTTTTTAGAGCACTTGCAAACAACAAACAAAACCCAAATCAAAGCAAAGATTAAATCACCAGAAAAGTTTTTGTTGGATCATAATTTTATGCCTAAGTAATCCTAAATGTTGTGGCATGAAAATCATGGTGTGACACTATGTGTGTGATGATTTAGACGAACCACGTAGGTTATTTTTAAGGTTGCATGGCATTGTATGGTCTGGAGGATTTGCTACGAAGGACATGATTATGGACCTAGACATTTGAGGAGTGATCGATCACTGTCCGTAGACACGTTCGGGCTTGTGCACGGACGTGGGGCTGTTTTTTTTGCATGGTAAAATGTGTCTCATTTATATCATGAAGATCATAGTAAAAGCCACATAGACATGGAACTGACAAAACTGAAAAGACATCAGAACGCTGGCCTTTGCACAAAGGAACACAAGCCATGAAGGAAAATTACAATCAAGACCAAAGAATCCCCTGAGCTTGATACCAACGCCCGTCACCTGCCTCCGGCGCCACCACAACAGTCACCATGAAAAAATGGCGGATCAACTCTTCACCCGAGCTCGGCGTGTCTTCATCGCTGATATGCAGTTTTTTGGACCTCCAAGGTGGCCCGCCAAAGGTGAATCCATTACCGTTGAACGAATCAGACCAGGGCAACACCCCAGACATGTCATTGAACTTCAGATCTGGCACCCCCGCACGACTAAGATGTCGAGAAGGAAACCATACCCGCCAGTCACGAACCATAAAGCTAGCACACGATCCATCATCTTTCGAATGCAGCCGATGCAGACCACAATCTGCATTCACTCTTGTACTTCCTCCCAAGCTCCTCGCTGGCGCTGGAGCAAATGTCATTGCAGTGACACAACCCGAGGACAGAAGTCCACCATGAGGATGTCGCCGCCACCACGACATCCTTGCTTGAACAGACTGGTTTCCACATCCATCCCACCCATAGGGCCGAACACCTCGTCGTGGAAGAATCTTAAGCTTATTTATTCAGCGCCGTCATCGCCGCCTCCGAAACCCAACCGATCAATGACCCAAAAATCCTAAGCCACTAGGCCTAAACCCTAAAGGTACACGATCCACACGCGTGGATCTGGCGACCCCCCCCTCACCACCGACCACAGAGGTCTCAGCGGAGGGGAGTCGCTGGAGGATGGCGGAGGAAGGACTCTCCTGACGGCTAGCGACTTTCTTCGTGGGGAAGAAAGAAAACCCTCGAGTCGAACATAGGGGGTCAAATTTGTAAAACGGATTTTCAGAACATGGGGCAGCAAAGCACTTTATTTTGAACCCCCAAAACAAGTGCTTAAAAGATTTGAATTTTTTTTTTGATTTTTTTACATGAATACGCATGTATGTGGTCTAGGTACGTGTGAAATTTCATCCTAAAATATGCTGCATCGTACACTGCACAAAAAAGACAAAAAATGGCCGAAAATCGAAAAAAAAACTAGCCCCAAATTTGCATGTATTTTGTCGTTTTTGACTTTTTGTATCTTTCACATGCAAGGACGTATATTGGTGAATTTTGGGCTATACTGCACCGCTATACATGCATGTACAATTTTTTTTTTGAATTTTTCAAGCTATACAAATTAGTTTTTTTGAACTTCAAAATAATGGGCACAAAGTGCCCGTGCTCAGCTGTCAATTTTCGGTCAAATTTGCCCAATCGGTTGCAGATGCTTTGACAGGAGAGTTAGGAAAACAATCCAACTGTTTCCTTGAATCCGGAAGCAGCGGTGGCAAGACGTATTTTACATTGTGGCCCACTAATCAGTGTCTCGTACTCCCCCTGGCCAGATCCAAGTGCCCACCGGACAAAACCACCACTTGCAGTCGTCTTCCCCACGCGCGCCCAGATCCAAGCCCTCCGCCATGGCTCCCACGGCGCCTTCGCCGGCGAAGTCCGCCTCCCCGTCCCAACCATCCGGGTACACCACTTCCTTCTCTGGCTCCCAAAATTGCTGGCCTCCCTAATCTTAACTAATCAATTGGGGCAATTTGAGAGCGTGCAGCAAGAGCGAGGTGTCGGATCTGAAGCAGCAGCTGCGGCAGCTGGCGGGGAGCCGTGCGCCAGACGCTGATGATCAGCGCCGGGATGTCTTCAAGCGGGTGATCTCTTGCATGACCGCAGGTATCGACGTGTCGGCGGCGTTCGGGGAGATGGTGCTCTGCTCCGCCACCTCCGACGTTGTGCTCAAGAAGATGTGCTACCTCTACGTCGGTGTCCATGCGCGCGCCCACCCGGACCTTGCCCTCCTCACCATCAACTTCCTCCAGCGCGACTGCCGCGACCAGGACCCAACCATCCGCGGCCTTGCGCTCCGCAGCCTCTGCTCCCTCCGCGTTCCAAACCTTGTCGAGTACCTTGTTACGCCGCTCACCACAGGGCTGAAGGACCCTAGTGCCTACGTTCGGATGGTCGCTGCTGTTGGTGCTGCAAAGCTGTATCACATATCTGCTACCACCTGCCTCGACGCTGACCTGCCTGCTGCGCTCAAGGCACTTATGCTCTCGGACCCTGATGCCCAGGTGAGCTTCCATGCTACGAACTGTTTTGATGAAATCGTTATTTTGTTTTCTGGCGACCATGTTATTCTACATGCTTGCAATGATAGAATAGCTATGCTGCCTAAAAAATCGCAGCATGCATTGTGTTCATTAAACCTGGAACTGGAAGTTAATCTCAACAGGAATTGAATTTTGTACTGCTGTTTTGCCAGTCTGTCTGTCCCCAATAATTAACTCTTGCTGACCGCGCCCTATAGGGTTGCATGGAACTGAGTTAAGCTGCAAGTTATGATTATGCTCTCACTGAGAAACGATTTGGTTTATATCTTGCTTGTTTGAGGTTGTGGCTAATTATGCCTTGTCGGTTTAAATATGTACTATCATGTGATGCATCAAGTAAATGTAAGTACTTTGCATCAGATGTCCATCACAAAGGAAATTCCAACCAGCTGATATAACCATGCTATCAACTTCAATATAAATATTTAGGAGTAATTGGTTATTATACCAACTTGTCAATCTCTCCAAAGGACTTTGTGACAGAAAGTATACATACAGAACCAGCTGTGGTAGCTTCTTGCAAATTCACAATCCCATTTGTTACGAAATTACAGGATTATAGTCTTATTAGGGAGCTTGCACCCTAGTGTTTTTAGTTCCAACATATTATATTATATCCAGCTGATCTGACACTGGATTAGATATTGTGATCTGGAGTTTGATTGAGATATATTTATTAGATACAAGTACAATTTGGGGGAACAGATGCTCTTGGTTTCTAACTAAAATCAATCTGTATATCTGCGAAAATATGATTGAAGATTTTGATTTGAGGATAAGAAAGAGGAGATAGATTCCTTATCCACCATTGTTGTGAGTTACCCTGCTTACTGCTTCTCCAATAGAGGTTGTGACGAAGCTTGATATGTCAGTGTTGGCGAATAGAATAAAATTGATGGATCCACCAGAAACTAGCGAGGACTCAACCACTCAAGTATGCCTTATAACCATAGTACTCCTTCCATTCCAATGAATAAGGCGTGCACGCATTTCAAAATCCAACTTTGACCATAAATTAGACCAATAATATATTTTTATGACTTAAAAATCATACCATTGAAAACTTCTTCGGATATGAATACAACGGTATAGTTTTTGTTACATATAACCCACATTTGGTTGGTCTAATTTATGGGCAAAGTTTAATTTTGGAATGTGCGCGCGCTTTATTCATTGAAATGGAGGGAGTATTCTCGACATTGTACTTTTCTTTTTGGAGCATCTAAACTCCATCCCCGACTTCTTCTAAAAACCGAGAAAAGGCTCACTTTCTCTCATCCCCAGTTCAAATATTTCTTGCTTGGCACCATGTCTCTTGTCTGTAAGGCATGGTTGAGCATGCATGCCTACATCATCGTCTTTTACAATATCATCATCTGTATCCATTGACCGGCCTCTATTTTTATCGATTGTTCTACAATACCACATCTGTTTCCAATGACCGGCCTCTATTTTTATTGATAATACCGCAGTCAGATTCCATTATTTGTGCCAGTCCCTTTGGCTAGTCTATGTGCGTATTGGCAACGATGAAGGATGATACCATGGCCCTTGTATGTATATATAAACATACTGAGTCAAATGGAAATGACTTCGAGTGCAAATCTTTGAGCATCTCTAGTAGACCCCCTATCCTATAATTGCAAAATGTATCCCTTAACCCAGAAAAAGCTATTTTGTAGGGGATTAAACCTTTCTTCATTTAACAGATCCCCTAGAACTTGATCCCTCAAAAAATCTCTTTTACCAATTCATCCAACCGTTTTCATACTTATCACCACATATTAATTCAAAACTTGAGAATTCAAGTACACACAAATCAAATACATATCAAATTTAATGTTCTCAAACTTAACTATTCAAATTCAAACACACCATATTGTCCAAATGAACCAAGAATCCAAATAAACATGATAAGAGCACAAGAATCAAGTGCTATGAAGTCGCCAATGATGCTCAATAAGATCTTGAAGTTGGTTGTGAGCTTCTTAGTTCTCGATCCTTTGGTGTGCTTGGAGGAATGCTCCGATCCTGTTTTGGGTTATGTTCCGGCTCCACCTCGACACCATTGTAGAGATACCGAAAGTCCTCCAGGTCCTCTCTCTCATCCTCGATGATCATGTTGTGCAAGAGAATAGATGCTCTCATGATCTGGTACAGGAGGGTCCGAGGCTTCCAATACTCAGCAGGGCTACGGACAATCACAAAGGGTCTTTGAAGCACACCAAAAGATCCTTTCTAGCAAATTCTTGGCACGTTGCAAAGTGAGATATCTTGTTGCCTTTAGGATGGTGGACTGTCTTCACAAATGTGGCCCAAGGAGGATAGATATCACCGACAAGGTAGTATAGGTAGTATCCCACGTTGTACTCATGGCCATTGACAACATAGTTGCAAGATGGATCATCACCGGCAACAAGCCTTGCAAAATGAAGAGATTGCTATAGGACATTCAGATTGTTGTGAGAGCCAGCCAGCCAGGCTTCCCGAAGTATGTGTGCCAAATCCAGAGATCATGTGATGCAATTGCCTCAAGAATGATTGTTGGATCATGTCAATGCTCTGTGTAGTGACCTTACCATGCCACATGACAATTTTTACATGTCCAATGCATACAGTCAATGAATCCAAGATCCTTGGCCAACATCTCTCTTCATTTTCTGCCATGAGCCTCTCGGTATCTCCATCAGTGGGAGCCCTCAAGTACTCTGGTCAATAGATCTTGATCACAGCTTTGTAGACTCGTTTCACGCAGAACATGGTCATTGATAGAATCAGCCGGGAATCCATAAGCAAGGACTCACACTGCTGTCGTAATCTTTGACAATGGACTTGCACTTGATGTTCCCGCTGCATTCCTTCTCAGTATCTCCACAACTTTTGCAATGTACTTGAAGAGATCCCGGTGCATCTGGAATTGGTGCTGAAAATAGTAAGGTGGATATACTGCATTCGACGCGAAGTAATCCCTCACTAGACCATCATGACCAATGATCCTATCCCGAAGAAACATCCTTCAACCAATTTGAGAACCACGCCCGGTCTCCTAAAATCCTTCTCCATAGCGACAAACGGCAACCGCCAACTTGAATTCATCATCTTCTTCCGACGATGAATCGTCGAAGATCATCTCCCACAATCTCTTCATCTACATATTGGAGAGTTACATGATCCATTTGAGACCTTTCTTTAATGAAAAACAGAAAAAGAACATTCGGTTTTGGTACTAGTTGGCACGAGGAGGAAGAGGAGGTTAGCCTTGATGGGCAGGTGGTACCTTAGAAGGATACCTTTCGATATTTGAGGTCAATGTTGCAGGAGGATGGTGATGTCGATGAAGATGTGAGCCATGGAATCAAAGCCGGATGGATGAAGTGGCGCCAAGCTTCTGGCATTCTCTATGACAAGAGGGTGCCGCAAAAGCTAAAAGGCAGGTTTTATAGGATGACTTCGACCCGTAATGTTGTATGGCGCTGAGTGTTGGCTGACTAAAAGGCGGCATGTTCAACAGTTAAGTGTAGCAGGGATGCATATGTTGAGATGGATGTGCGGCCACACAAGGAAGGATCAGGTCTGGAATAATGATATACGGGATCGAGTTGGGGTAGCACCGATTGAAGAGAAGCTTGTTCAACATCGTCTGAGATGGTTTGGGCATATTCAATGCAAGCCTCTAAAAGCTCCAATGCCTAGCGGATGACTAAAGCATGCTGAGAATGTCAAGAGAGGCCGGGGTAGACCAAACTTGCAATGGGAGGTGTCCGTAAAGAGAGATCTGGAGGACTGGGATATCACCAAAGAACTAGCCATGGACAAGGGTGTGTGGAAGTTAGCTATCATGTGTCAGAACCATGAGTTGGTTTTGAGATATTATGGGTTTCAGCTCTAGCCTATACCCCAACTTGTTTGGGACTAAAGGATTTGTTCTTGTTGTTGTAAAGGCAATTGGACAAACACCTTGTGGGCAAACGGGGTCGGAGAGATGGTGGCCGGCGACGGAACTTCGGCTAGGGATGAACGACGGCGGAGGACACCGGCGACGGTGCCTACCAGGCCGCAGAGGTTATTCCTGAGCGTGGAGGCGACGAACGCGGCCGGGATGTAGATGCAGCGCCCGCAATGGGCTACTTTGTCGGTTCCTGCGCCGTCGGCTAGCTAGGGCTTGTGCTTGAGCTTGCTACGCCATCTCCAAGGTCAGCCGGTTCGATTTCCGGCAAAAACGGACCTCGGCGTCGACCGGGTGGAGCTACATGGTGGTAGCCCCGTCGGCGGCGAAAATGCCGATTCTGGCGCCGGCGAGTGAGGAGAAGGCGCCGGAGAAGGTGACGGGCCTGCGGGCTGGTGGCATGGAACGGTTCTATCGACGGGGGCTCGACGGCGGTGGCGAGAGGTGGGGCGGCGCCGAGAGGAAGGTCGGGCGGCCGCCTAAATTTACTGAGAAGCTGTGTCTCCAGAGCAAAAACAGGATGGACGGCTGCGTTTTAAGAGATGCAAAGTTATATTTTTGGGGGATTATTGGTGGGATCTACTAGATAGGCCTTATTCCCTCAAACCAGAAAATTACCCCCCAAATATAACTATCTGGGGATCTGCTAGAGATGCTCTTACATCGACTAGTTATATGGCTTCAAGCCTGCTGCTAACTACTGGAATTGCCACACGTCTTGGGTCTTAGGAATACTGTTGGAAGTTAGTATTCATAAACTGTGGTGTTGAATGCACACAAAATTGGAAACTGTGGGTTTGAAAGTATTTTGCATCCAAATAGGACCCATTGTAATATTCTAGTCTGTGGTATTCAGTTGTAGTCTTATGGAAAGGGTTGGAAGGTCCTGTCTTAGGAAGGAAATTCTTACTTAAACTGACATGTTTCATTGGACAATTTGGGCCTTGGTTCAACTGACTAGTTTTTTAGTTGTTTATCTCTTGTAAATGCCATTTTTTGGGTAACCTGATTACATTGCCGAAATCTCCAGGTGGTTGCCAATTGCTTGCATTCACTGCTTGAGATATGGACCCTAGAAGCTGCCAATTCAGAGGCAGCAGGGAGGGAGATTGAGACACTATATAGCAAGCCAGTGGTGTTTTACTTGCTAAACAAGTGAGTTCCACCTTTGAAGATTTTGTTAGCAATACTTCCTATGTGCATTTACTCAAATTCTTTTATTTTGAATTGCAGAATCAAAGAATTCAGCGAGTGGGCACAGTGCCATGTTCTTGAGTTGGCGTCAAAGTTCATACCATCTGATAATAATGAAATATTTGACATAATGAACCTGCTTGAGGATAGACTTCAGCATGCAAATGGAGCTGTTGTTTTGGCAACAATCAAAGTGTTTCTCCACTTGACGATGTCAATGACCGATGTTCACCAGCAGGTGTACAGTGTTCTATATCTTATGTTCCTGGATATGCAGTCTTACTCTTGCAGCACAATTATTGGAAGTCTTAATTTTTATCCTATTTATATGCAATCAAATACACTGAATACCACTTCACATGACCAGTAAACATACATATATCTATTTTCTGGGAGTTCATGTGGTCTTCAAATTTCTTCATTCAGAGGGCACTTCAGCTATTTATTTTCCCATGCTTGTAGTTAGCTATGCGTACACCAATATACTGGATTTTCCTTTTTATGCCACTATTATAGACTTCTTAAGTGAAATGAGATCTTGATTGAGTATCTTCTAAATCATGTTTGCACCCTCCATTTTAGGTTTATGAACGCATAAAGGCACCTTTGCTTACTCTGGTAGGTGCTGGGAGTCCAGAACAATCATATTCAGTGCTATGTCATCTGCATCTTTTGGTGATGCGTGCTCCCATGTTATTTTCTTCCGACTACAAAAGTTTCTACTGCCAGTTTAGTGATCCTTCGTATGTGAAGAAGCTGAAACTTGAGATGTTGACTGCTATAGCAAATGAGAGCAACACCTATGAAATTGGTATACCAGATACCTGATGGTGTCATATATCTTGCAAAATATTTGATATATTTGTTAGTCCAGTTGCTTTCCCACCCGTAAAATGCTCATGCCATATTTTTCTTCCTGCTAGTAACTGAGCTGTGTGAATACGCTGGAAATGTTGATGTACCAATTGCAAGAGAGTCTATCAGAGCAGTTGGAAAAATAGCTCTGCAGCAATATGATGTGAATGCTATCGTTGACAGGCTTCTACAATTTCTTGAAATGGACAAGGATTATGTGACTGCTGAGACTCTTGTAAGTTCTATAATGCTAGCTATTGATCCTTACTGAGGGTAAAATCTTGTAGGATTACATTCAACTGTGCATCCTTTTGTGCCTGAATAAAAATTAAAATGCAGGTCTTGGTGAAAGATCTTTTGAGGAAATATCCTCAATGGAGCCATGATTGTATAGCTGTTGTTGGAAATATTAGTAGCCAAAATATTCAAGAGCCAAAAGGGAAAGCAGCTCTCATATGGATGTTGGGTGAATATTCTCAAGATATGCATGATGCTCCATATGTTCTTGAAAATCTTGTTGATAACTGGGACGAGGAGCAGTCTCCCGAGGTACTAATAACACTTTTCTTGTTTCGTGTTGTTCGTATTTCCTGCCAAATTAAGATGCATCAGTGGGTTTCAGTATGAATTTTTCTTTCTTAAAGTTCCGTATGAAATTTACATGGCTAGCTAAAGCAATCTTCGATGGCAGAATATGAGTTGTATTGACCTTGTCCTATATTTATGTTAAAAGTATATTCGCTTTGATCATATGCGCTCATGATGTTGTGTCCTGTAGTATCTAATGGTTTGCTGGTACCATACATGTTTAAGATAAAGGCTAAAGCATTAGATCAGTTAGAACTGGAAATGGTAATGATTGCAATCTTGGTTTATAAAGGCTGTAAAGTTGAATGTCCCATCAAGTTTTACTGTAATGAATAGTGTGGTTCATGAGTGAAACTCACATATTAGCGTGTCAACACTAAGACATTTCTCTTGCCGTCTTTTAGTTATCTTGAACTAAGTAGTTTATTTGGAATCACCATATAACTCTGTTCCGTTTTCAGACTGTTATATGCCATGGTCCACTGTCACGGCCCTAGCCAGTAGGTACTTAATGTTGAACTAAACATCATTCTTCCAGTGATATCTTATTTTCAGGTTCGTTTGCATCTTCTGACTGCGGTGATGAAATGTTTCTTTAAGAGACCACCCGAGACACAGAAGGCATTAGGGGCTACATTAGCTGCTGGTCTAGCTGATACACACCAGGTTTGGATTTTTTTATGATAGTTGTTGGATTATTCATATCATAACAAATGGTAAAAATGTTGTTTCTCTAGCTTAACTGCCACCTCATTGCAGGATGTTCATGACCGAGCACTTTTCTACTACAGGCTTTTACAATATGATCCAGCTGTAGCTGAACGTGTAGTAAACCCTCCCAAGCAAGCTGTCTCTGTATTTGCAGACACACAGAGCAGTGAAATCAAAGATCGGATATTTGATGAATTTAACAGCCTATCAGTTGTATATCAGAAGGTACATAACTTAATTTGACATCTGACGTGTAATTGCCATTAAAATTTCAAACACTGATAACTCCATTCACCGATACCTCTATCAAAATTTTGTTGTTACCATTCCAGGCACGTGCCAAATTTTGTGCATATTGTATGTTGCAACATTTAGTGCATCTTGGGGGTTATGTATGTTCAGAACATCTGACAACATTGTTTGCGGACTGCCTTTGTTGTCAGTGATGACTGATGAAGGTGCTGAAGATTATGTTTTGGCATTGCAAAGCTTGAGTGGCAAATAATGCAGTCGGGGCAACAGAAATTCATTTCCTTCTACCAATATTCATTAGCTCTCAGTGGAGGCATTTGAAAGCAGTAATTTGGTAATTAGTAATAAACTAACAGTTAGCTCATGGGTTTTGGTTGGTCATCGGCTATAATCACTTGCAGTGCCAAGCAAAACCAGTGTGGTCCCACATGCTTCAACCTTTTAAAGCAAGTAGTTCAGTTCATAGAAAGAACCACGCGGAACTCGGTCAATATTGCAAATTCATGCATCTCAGCATAGATTAGATTAAGCACTGTCCTATAAGCAAAGGCTTTGCTGGGTAGCAGTCTTCAACTGTAAAGCTAGTTAGGAACCTTAGTAACCAGTTTCTGAACTCCTGCTTCAGGCAAGTTGAGTTAATACATCTCAAAAGAGTCCATGCCATGTCACGTGTCAATCTTGTCTTTGTTGAGTTGCAAGAGATGTGCTTGTTCACATCTTTCTGTGATTAGAAATCCACTGGTTTTATGGCTAAGATGGGAACTTAATACCAGCATGATGTGCAATTGTTGTCATTGACTACTGCTGGATAAGATTGGAGCATAATTTGTAGCAAATCAGCTACTCAAATATAATCATCCGCATTTTTATTTTGGAAAATTTACATGAGAAGTATTGACATCTTTGATGGATTGCAGCCCTCTTACATGTTTACCGACAAGGAACATCGTGGAACATTCGAGTACTCAGAAGATCTTGCGAACTTAACTGTTGGGGCAGATGCTCCAGAAACCGTCATTTCTGCCCAAAGATACCAAGAAAACGATAATGATCTTCTGCTAAGTACTTCAGATAAAGAGGACAACGGTATAAGAAGCAGCAATGGTTCTTACACCTCTACATACAATGCTCCTTCCGATTTGCTAAGTTCGCAAACACCAGCTGAAACTGCACTAATAAATCCTAGTAGTTCGACATATTCAACACAAACAAACTTCAGTCTCGATGATCTTCTTGGACTTGGTGTTCCTGATGCCTCAGCACCTCCACCACCTCCTGCACTGGCCCTCAACTCAAAGCCTGTGCTAGATCCTGCGACTTTCCAGAAGAAATGGGGCCAACTGGCATTATCCTTTTCTCAGGTGTGTTGCTTTTAAGTTTTTGTCCCTGCTACATTTCATGATTATGGGCAGCGGCAGCATAGTCTTGTGTCTTTTTCTCATTGCCTGGTCAAGTTTCTTATGATTTTAGCAAGGTAATTGCGTGAAATCCTATGTGCTGCCGCTGTCTAATTTGTCCATGAGGCTCATCTCAGCTGTGTTTGAAATTAGCAGTTCTGATGTAGTGATGTTCTATGTTCCTCTCAATGGTTTCACTTGGTTTGAGATTATTATGATTTTACTTTGGTAGTATTGCACAAGAGGATTCTGTGTGATAATCTGCTTCTGTTTGTCGTTTTTCTGTATGGGTCCGCCCTTGAAATTCATCATCACATTGGTAAGTTTGAAATTGTAATTAACAAATATTCTTCTCTAATATGGTTTGTTCTGTTGTAGGAATGCTCTTTAAGTCTACAAGGAGCAGCTTCTTTGATGAATCCCCAATCGCTCATTCGTCATATGCAAAGCAACTACATTCAATGCATTGCTTCAGGCGGTCAGCCTCCAAACTACAAGTTCTACTTTTATGGTCAGAAAGCTGGGGCTGCTGCTTTCTACCTTGTAGAATGCATTGTTAACACAGCATCAGCGAAGGCCCAGCTCAAAATCAAGGCCGAGGATGGGACTACTGCTGAGGCATTTTCTACCTTGTTTCAATCAGTATTGTCTCAATTTGGGCATTCTTGATCGTGAGCATTTTCCTTCTCGGTGATGCACCTGCCTCCAGCTTTTCTGGCTCTGCACAATATCTCTGCAATCCACTACATTAAACTCCAAGCAAAGCCTTCCGCTACATCTTTTTATCAGAAGCTTGGAGCAGGTGAAATTTGCCGTTTGCCTCCCAGTGTCATGCAAGTACCATCAGACCATTAGATTCTGCAGGGAAAAGACACCAGAGTTGTTTTTTTGGGATTTTTTTTGGTGGGTGAAGTCACTAGCACTGTACATTACTATACATTTCATTCAGTCATCTGGTGATGCGGCTAATTTCTTCAGGGTTATGGTGGTTTAGATGGTGTGTAACCTTGTTACTGGACTGGACATGATATCACCTCTGTTGATGAGAATAGATGGACACCTGTAATTTGTTTGCAGGGTGCAATAAAGCAAGAGTATATTCGACTTGTATAAGTTGGAATTCGAAATACATGTACACAAACAGAAGTGTGATGATCACAGCAAGTTAAAGTTAAACGTCAACTTCTTAAGGACATAACAATAGTTCAGACAATTAATCTTTACATACAGTGATGTAGACAAATCATATCATAATTTGTAGTATGAAATTAGACACCATACAACGGCAAAACGTTGTCTGTCTAGTCCTCATCGCAAAAATTTCTGTGGCAATCGTTAAACACGGCTTACTATTTGTAAGTGCCTTAATATTAAGGACCCTTAGCTGGTGAATGTTCGCTTGGAGGGTGACAAATGATTTCACAGTTGCGAGGGGATGACAGCTTAACAACATTGCAGTTCCTTTACAAGAAGACAATTCTTTAGAACAACCTTATATATCAGGTATAAACTGTGTGTCCCAACAACAACACGACTAACTAATTAGCCATGGCCTCAATCAACTGGCATGCATTCTGGTGTTCCATAAATCCATCTAGGCTGTTTCACGACTAACTAATTAGCCATGGCCTCAATCAACTGGCATGCATTCTGGTGTTCCATAAATCCATCTAGGCTGCTGAAACAGCAAAGCTTCTGCTAGCATTGTGGACTGAATGAACGAGCAGTCAGGCACCAAGAGTACCAAAATTACGCAACACAGCAATAATGAGCAGTACTGCTTACTGTTAATCAATCAAAGCAATTAGTTCACTTAAAACATACACACGCATCAGGCAGAGAAATACAACTCAGACAACTAACACTGAAAGTTCAACATAGCACAATATATTAATAGCAGATCTGTAGCATCTCAGGTATCTAACAAGATCCGATCCAATCCAGGATCGATCCGACCACATAACATTATTAGACACAGATCAGATAAAAGATCACCACCCAGGGATCAAGAACTCAACCACCAGGATTCAATAAACAGCAAAAACATCTACTAGTAGTAACTAAAAGGAGATGGATCGATCCAGTCTAGGGCTCGCCGGGGATTGGATCAGACGGGGGTCAGAAGCTGGAGCAAGCTAGGTTTGGGCTCGTCTCCCTTAGTCATGCCGACGACGATGATGAGCGGGATGAAGCCCCAGTGCGCCACCACCTTCGCCGTCTTCATCGTCCACGTGCTCCACTCCTTGGCGAGCTGCACCGCCACCGCCGCGGTGGACTGCTCGTCCTCGGCCGCGGACGAGCCCCTCTTCGCACCCTTGCCCTTCGGCTTCGGCTTCAGCGACGGCCGCGACGCCATGGCGACTCCTCTTGATTCTTCGATTCGCTGGACGAAAACCCTAGAGATGTGGCCTTTGGGGATGCGTTGATCGTTTGATCTGGTGCGTTGTTTCCGGTTAATATTGGCTGCTTCCTGGGCCAGTCCTTCTCGTGTTTGGTTAGCAACTACAGTAGTATCTCTCTGGGAGACCTCTCAAGGGTCCTCAAATGCTATTGGGCTAGGCTTATCTTTGAATTGGGCCAAACTTTCCAAGTAACCAGGCGCTGAGCATTGTGGACATTCTATTTGAAGCTAACTGCACAGGGAACAGGTGCGAGCGAACGACATGGGCCGGCCCACTGCTGGTCGATTTTCTTTTCTGCTGGTCGATTTACCGTGCCACAGGATCCCGGTTTGGTTCCCGAGGCGGTTTTTACTGGTTTTGGCTTTTCAGATTTTCCTTTTTTAATTTCTGTTTCTATTTCTTTTCTTCTTTCTCCCTTTTCAAGTTTTATGTTTTTTTTCTGTTTCCTTTTCAATTCATGTCTTTTTCAATTTTTTTATTTTAGAAAAATTTGAATTCCGAATTTAAAAACTGTTCCTTTTTTCAATTTTGTTCACAAATTTAGAAAAAAATACGTTTTGAAAAAGGCTCAGGGTTAAAAAAAGTTCCCTTTTTCTGAAATTTGTTTACAAATTCAAAATATGTTCAGAGTTTTCCAAAAATATTCGTGGTTTCAAATTTTCTTGAATTCCAAAAAAGTTCTGGTTTTCAAAATTTGTTCACAGGTTAAAAAACGTTCCAGAATTTCAAAAAATGTTCAGGGGTTCCCAAATTTGTTTGGAATTTTGAAATTGTTCAAAATTTCAAGAAATGACCACTTTCTTGAAAATTTGCTCACGTTTATATAAAAACGAAATTTGAAATTTGTTCACGTTGTTAAATAAATGTTCGCATGATCAAAAAATTGTTCACCATTGGAAAAAAGTGTCCAGGATTCGGAAATTGTTAACAATTTCAAAAAAGTTATTTTTTAAAATACTGATTTCAAATTTGTTCTCATTGTTAAAAAAATGTTCAAACTTTGAAACATTACTTACCTTTCAAAAAATTGTTTATAATTTCCAAGATTTGTTCGAATAAAATTAAAAAGTGTTGAGGTTTGGCAGAAGCACTATTGTTAGTTCTCGTATATCAATGCTGCAAATCAGTCACTTACAATTAGAACAAACCCCTATTATATATACAAGAAAAAAAGTTTTGTTTGGTATACTGTGAGCTAAGTATTCTTTTCCTATCAATGAACTTTTCATAATTTTCATAATAGGATCCTCATATTTTATTATGAAAATTATGAAAAGTGGAGTATTCTTACAATAGGACCTAAAACTTCCAGCTATCTTCTCCAAAATCATAAGGTTAGTAAATCTTATTAATAAGAGCATAAATACTTTCATTCTTGAAATTTTAAAAATATATCCAAAAAGCCTTTTCTATTTATCCATTTAAATTTCATCATTAAATAGAAACCCTTTTGGATTTTTTTCATTGTATTGAAAGAACCGAAGTTCCTTCCCTTAGAACCGTACTTAAGAGTTTCCTACCTCATACGGCTCAGAAATTGTTATCTGAATTTCCCCTATCTTAACTGAATTCAATTTATCAAAAATCGATCCAATTTGTTCTTGGGTCAAGTAGAAGAAATTAATTACCTAAGTTTCAAACTCTAATTTTTATCAATAATTAGTTTGATCTTTTTTCCCACCTTCAAAAGAATGAAGCATAGATAGATATAGAGCCTTCGTTCAAATTTTCTGAAAGGTCGCATGGCTATTGGCATCACTTCATTACCAGAGGTCTCAAGTTCCATTCCTCTAGAGCGCGCTGCTTTTTTGGGCATTTCCTATTCGGCTCTTAAGCGCCCGTTTGCCAACGGGCGCCTTCAGGCGCTTCTATTTGGGCTCGGTCCATCTTGCGATTTTTTTTTTCAATTTTCTAAAAAGAAAAACGAGCTGCGCTATGGTTCGAACCTCCGACCTCCTGCGCGAGGGGAGGTTGCACTAACCACCGGCCAGATGCCATCTCACGTGCTCAATTTCACATTCTTCACCATTTTTCTTCTATGTCTTTTTCTTTTCTTTTTTCGTTTTTCTTTCTATTTTGGAAGGATTTTGTTCGTCACTTTTTTCTAAATTGAATGAACTTTTTTTTTTCAATAAATCGATGAACTTTTTTCAAATTTGGTGAACTTTTTTTAAAACCGATGAACTTTTTTTTGAATTCGATGAACTTTTTTTCAAATTCGATGAACTTTTTTGAAAAACGATGAACTTTTTTTTCAAAATCGATGAACCTTTTTCAGTTTGTTGAACTTTTATTAAATTTTGATGAACTTTTTTTGAATTTATGTTTTCTTTTTTCAGATAATTTATATTGGGTGAATGTTAACGTTTTACTATATGAAAAGGTTAGCTAGAAATGTTTTATAGACAACAGAGTTAGTTTGGCCTAGAGGTTTGTGTGGTGCGCTGGCAACATTGTGATCATGAGTTCGAATCTCTGCGATCCCTAATATTTATGTAATTTTTTCTTCAGCAGCGAATAGTGCTGAGCGAGCAAGGACGCGTTGGGCCGACCCAAGTCGCGGCTGCGTGAGCGCCCTTCCGCGAATAGGCGCCTATGTAGGAGCTCCCGCTGAGTCCTGGACTAGGGGGTCCTCGGGCATGCGGTCTATTAGATATGGGCCAGACTGATGGGCCGTCAAGATACAATACAGAAGATCCCCTCTCGTGTCCGGTAGGGACTCCCGTATGCGTGAATGGCAAGAATAGATGTCCGGATATGTTATTCCCTTCTGTAAAACCGACTTTGTACAATCCTAAGCCCCTCCGGTGTCTATATAAACCGGAGGGTTAGATCGGAGGCAGGATCACAACATTGTTGGGCTAGCTAATCTAGGGTTAGCCAACTCGATCTCGTGGTAGATCAACTCTTGTAACCTCTATACCCTTCGAATATAATCAAGAAGGAGTAGGGTTTTACCTCCATTAAGAGGGTCCGAACCTGGGTAAACGCGGTGCCATTTGTTCATAGTTACCATTGGTCTCCAGACATACAGCTTGGGCCCCCCTACACGAAATCAGCTGGTTTTGACACCGACATTGGTGCTTTCATTGAGAGCTCCACTGTATCGTCGACAGAAGGATCGATGGCTGATACGTCTCCAACGTATCTATTTTTCCAAACACTTTTGCCCTTATTTTGGACTCTAACTTGCATGATTTGAATGGAACTAACCCAGACTGACCCTCTTTTCAGCAGAATTGCCATGGTGTTATTTTGTGCAGAAAT